CAAGTCTCTTATATATATATATATTTTAAATCATCCGCCATTTGCCAGCCTGCTGGGATTTAAAAAAAAACGTGTGTTTTTCATCGTAGAGCCAGATTAAAATTCAGGAAGCCGATTTCCGTCCACATCCCTAAATATGGTGATCAACCTCTGCCTTCCACAGTTCAAGCCAAGAATTCACTGCAACAAGGTATTTGAATGATGATGATGATGATGATGATGATGATAATAATAATAATAATAATATGATGTCCTCTGACGCTACCTGAACAATTCCTAGGTCCTTGGTTAGGACTCGAGCTGTTGAGCTACCAACCACCCCCAAAGGCTATGAATCTCAATAATAATAATAATAATAATAATAATAATAATAATAATAATAATAATAATAATAATAATTTATTTATTATTATTATTATTTCTACATCCTTTTTTGGTAGCCTCATTTTTCTGGTTCCACTTTGTAGTAGCATTTCATTACAGAGCGGTTCTCTGACATGGTGTATTTCTGCCGCTTCTGAGGTTGTTCAGTTTCCAGTAGCCCTGCAGGCCCCTACCCTGGCTGCTCAGCTATGGGACCCGTGGCCCGTAGCTCACTTGTCGACGGATGCCCAGGTTCCCTAACACCCGACGTGGTCCTTGTTAACCCCGGGCGACGTTCGGTTGTGTTTCACCAAGATTCATTGCTCCTCAGCCGAGACCTTTCTGTCATGGTTGGACGTGCTGATAGTTTGCACTACCGCCAGCACAGCTCTCGGCTTCATTGGAGCAGTTAAGCCCCGCACCACCACGTCAAGGCGGCACCTCATGGGGGGTGGGGGGGAAACATCTCAAACGTAAAGACAAATAACATGTCCTTCATAGGCTTTATGGTTCTGGAGATTTTGTGATGATGCGTGAGGGCTATTTTGCTTTTATAGAGAGAGATTAATATCAGTACACGAACAGCATGGCCTCTGGGTATAATTCATTTTGATACAGACATCAATAACGGTAATCATAATAGTTGTTCTATTAATTAATCAAACTTACATAATCCTAATATGAATCAGCGTGCTTTTTTAAGAGTAGTTATTCAGTATTTCAAATGTTCCATTTTAATGCCAATGATATTATAAGCCAATGATGAGAAACCTCTTTGTTGTGGTGGTGCGAAAACACGCGCACTGCGCCCCGCTCCCCTGTGTATGCGTGTGCAACTCCCCTGCCCCGCCGCCTTACCTGCACTGGGCATGCGTGCACCTCCCAGCTGATTTTTGGCCCGCATGAGACCATTTTCGCCCTCCCGGAGGCTCAAGGGTAGCCTCTGGAGCGACTGGAGGCTGAAAACAGGCCCGTTTCGGCACTTCTGGTACTTCCGGAAGGCCCATTTTTCAGCCTCCAGAGGCTTCCCTCGAGCCTCCGGGAGGGCAAAACGCCTCAAACGGGCTGAAAATCAGCTGGGAGGCGCACGCATGCGCAGTGCAGGTAACTTTGGCTGTAGCTCGTGTGCCCCTACCAATGGTTCTGCAGGTCACCTATGGCAAGCGTGCCATATGTTCGCCATCACGGTTATAAACATACCTGGTGATGCCCTCTTCCACTTTCAGTTGTAATTCGAGGACCGCCTGGGTTTCCCCGTCCCTGACTTTTATCCCGCATTGTAGATTTCCGCCGACGGCTATGAAGTGGAAAACCTCATCTCCGAAGACCCCGTCAAGCGACACCGTGGCTTCCGCTGCGAATACTTCATCAAGCCGCCGGTGCAGGTGACCATTTCCTTCCCCTTCAATGTGGAAATCTGCCGGATTAACATCGATACTTCGTCCGGCTCGTGCCACAACATCACCGGCTTGGATATTTATACCGCTACCTCCTCCAATAAGGCCTATTGGAATAGCCCAGAGCCCCTTTTCTCCGCTCCGTCCGGCCAGCCTCCGGCGTCGGACAAGGAGACCTTCACCCTGGTGGGCAAAGCCGTCTTAAAGAATCAAAGCAAAGTGACCTTTGGCCATCGTGGCTTCCGGCCCAGGCCTCCCTTCCATCACCAAGCCGACCCTCTCCTCTCCTTTCCCGGCTCCGCCTCTTTGGACTTATGGAATAAAGGCCCGGCTTCCTTAAGTAGTGTCACCTGGCTGAAAATCTGCATTGCTTACGTGGCGGGCAGCGGGCTGCCTTCCATCAAGAGAGTCGAGGTCTGGGGCCAACCGTCCAAGTCGTGCTCTCATGACGTGGTGGACGATGTCCTCCGGGTCGCCACCAAGTCCTCGTTGGATGCCTCGGACAGTCAACTCCCCGCCCTTCCTCTGCCAATGGAGAGTGACACGGGGCCCGACTCCCGGGAACAGAACCTGGTGGAGGTTCTCCAGGACATCCCGGAAGAATTCCTGGACCCCATCACCCTGGAGATCATGACCCTGCCCATGCTGCTGCCCTCCGGGAAAGTGATCGACCGAGGAACCCTGGAGAAGTGCAACCGGAGCGAGGCGACCTGGGGGCGTGTGCCCAGCGATCCTTTCACAGGGGTGGCGTTCAGCCCGCACACGCAACCCCTTCCCCACCCCTCGCTCAAGGCGAGGATCGACCACTTCCTCCTCCAGCACGACATCCCCGGCGTCAACCTGCTGGGCCGGAGCCGGGCTTCGGGGACGGTGGTGGCGTCGTCCCTCGCCATGTCATCGCTCAAACGGAAGATCGATCTGGTGGACCAGAACCAGGAGGGAGTCCCGGAGGGCAGCCACTGTGCGGCGGTGGACTTCGCCGTGGCGTCCAGTTTGGGGTTCCACGCGAAGAGGGTGAAAATGGAATGGGATTTGAACTCGTCGCAGATGGATTGCTCCACAGGTATCCTGAGCCTTCCGGTTTGTAAACTTGCCGGGGGTGGTGCTGGTTGAAACCATCCTGTGGGGAGAAATGTTTATCTGAGTATTGGTTTAATATTCTGAAATCGCTTAAGCTGTTGGTGTCAGAAGTTTGTGAGTCTTTTATAAGTCTAGTCCCTAAGGCGGGACTAGAACTCACCGTCTCCTAGTGATTGGCCCAAAGTCACCCAGCCGGTTTTCATTCCTAAGGCAGGACTAGAACTCGCTGTCACCTGGTGATTGGCCCAAAGTCACCCAGCTGGCTTTCATAGCTAAAGCGGGACTAGAACTCACCGTCTCCTGGTGATTGGCCCAAAGTCACCCAGCTGGCTTTCGTGCCTAAGGTGGGACTAGAACTCACCACCTCCTGGTGATTGGCCCAAAGTCACCCAGCTGGTTTTCATGCGTAGGGTGGGACTAGAACTCTCCGTCTCCTGCTGATTGGCCCAAAGTCACCCAACTGACTTTCATGTCAAAGGCGGGACTAGAACTCACTCTTTCCTAGTGATTGGCCCAAAGTCACTCAGCTGACTTTTGTGCCTAAGGTGGGACTAGAATTCTCCGTCTCCTGGTGATTGGCCCAGAGTCAATTTTCTTTTATTTGCTATTTCTCACCTGCTTGTTGTGCATCTCTCTCCATATTGGATAGACAGATAAGCACCTATCTGTAGCATGATTCGCCAGGGAGGATGCTCTCTTTGACTCTTCCATGATGCCGCTCTCTAGATCTTTTTTCCCTCTCTTCACAGAAGCGGTGACGCATGAACAGAGGCTGTCCGAAAGTTTGGACAGCGCCTTGAACTCCGCACTTAGCACGATGCCGTTCACCGCGAGTTTGGCTAAAGGCGGGCAGCACGGGCACAGCAGCAGCAGCAGCAGCAGCTCCAGCGATGTCTGCGGGGCTGGCGGAGCTTACGGTAAATCCAGGAAAAAGTTGGCCAACTCAACCTCTTTGCCCTTCTTTGCCGGGAGCGATTTCCTGCCTGTCAGAGTCCTTGGGAATTTGAGTCTCTCGCCCACGAGAAAGAAAGGGCTAACGGAACAGCTGGCTTCTCTATACTTGGTTGAATTTTTATTTATGTATTTTTATCACATTTGGAGACCCCGCCCCTCTATCTCTCACAAAGAGAGACTCGGGATAGTATCCGAATCAAAGACAAAAACTTGAAAATGGCTTATAAAAGGAGACTGTGAGTTCTAGTCCCGCTTTAGGCATCAAAGCCAGGGGGGTGCCCTTGGGCCAGTCAACCAGGACACTGTGAGTTCTAGTCCTGCCTTAGGCATGAGAGGGTCCAGAGTCCTCCCCCAGGACATCTGTGAGGGTGAAAACAGCCTCCCCTGGGCTCTGGAGGTCCACAAACAGGCCTGTTTACGGACTTCCGGAAGGCCCATTTTCCCCCCCTCCCAGAGCCCCTGCACGAACCTTGCACTTACCTGCATGGAAAATGGGCTATGTGGAGACTGCTCGGGGGAGGAGGGGCGAGGTGGGAGGGGCCAACCGGTCAGTTGAAATACCGGTTCTGTGAACCAGCTGTATCTTTTAACATCTGGTTCATCCGAACCGGAAGAATCCCACCCCTGTGGCAACACAAATAAACAGGGATCTGATTAGACACATTGACCTATTGCCTAGTTGAGCATAGCTGTCTCCACTCCAGCCCACACCCCCAAACCCAAAAGACGACCCTCGCATCAATTGTGGTCGTGCCTCCACAGTCCCCCTTTTCACTTTTTGCATGTCGTTCTGTCACGCCCCTGTTGGAATCTGATTCCGAGGGAGAGGAGGAACAGCCGACAGGAAGTGGGAATGTGGCTCCGGTGGTTGTGAAGGAAACTGAGGGCACAGGCCGGCTGGGCATTCAGAGGAAGACCTAGGCCCGCCCCCTCTTCATCCTAGGGCACGCAGGGAGGAGCGGAGAAGGGAGAAATGTGAATGGCGTGGTCTACGGGGGAGGAAAGGGCCCTGATCCCCTTCATGGGCTGCAGCTGTGAGGACTGTTTATAAGGAAAAAACTGCGCATGGCAAAGTTGCTGGAAGCAAGCGTGCATTATCTTGGTCGAGGCTTATCTGGGTTATGGCTTCCTCCCAACTGTGGTTGCTGCATTATCTGGTAGAAGTCCGCAATTTATCATCCTGGCCTGCCGTATTAATTCCTTCAGTGTGGTTTGCGTTGGTTTTTTTTTTTTAATATTTCTAATTAACTTTAATTTAGGTTCGGACTGCATTTACTCTCTCCGTAGACTGTTTTCTTTAAGAGTTTGATCTCCAGCCGAGGATAATTAGACATTGGGGGCCAAGTTGGAGGCATTGAAGGGAATTCATTCGATTTTTGTGACTTGCTTATTTTTGTGTCACGCCCCTTTGGGTCAACACATGTTCTCTTTTTTCCCCCCGCAGAGCACGACAGGAACCCCGCCCCCCAGGGATGCTCTTCTTGTTCCCGCGCCTTTTCTCCCTACTTCAAGACCGAGGCCGTCTACCAGCTCCCGTGCCGGCATCTGGTGTGTCGCGCTTGTTTGGCTGACCAACCAAAATCGCCCTCCGTCCTGTGCATGAATTGCAAGAGGCTGTTCGCCACCCACGACGTTTCGAGGGTCCACTTTTGAGAGGGAGAATTGGGGGGGGGGGGAGAAGAAACGGGGGGGAGGACAACGCGCTCTTCGGAGGCGGGGAGAGGTGGCCCTGTGGCAGGCCTCATAGCGGTAGCCAAGAGGCAGGACTGTTCCCTCTGCCCACCCACCCCCTTCCCTTCCGCCATGGCCACCGCCGAGTCGCACAGTGACAACAATCCTACACGTGCTGTACTAAAAGACAAAGGAACCCGGGGAGGTTGTGTACAGACTGTATAGAAGGACAGTAGCATTTTAAAGCTGGAGGAATCAAAAGGATAATAAAGCCATATGCTTATCTAATTTTCTTTTTCTTTCTCTCTCTCTCTCTCTGTCTCCGAAAACAGTTCATTTCTACATAAAGCGTGTGTAACTTAAGTTCTGGTCTTTGGCTGTGATGACCCAAACGGGTGTGGCACAAAGGCAACACAGTCAGATAACCAGGAGGAGTTGTGCAGCCAGGGGTGCGGTGGTCAAGGCATCTTAACAGCTGACATTTTAAGCCTTAATAAAAATAAATAAATTATGGTCTGAAATCACAGGGGATTTAACCAGCCATTGTATTGCTCTGTCGCTGGTGAAAGCTGGCGCAACATTAAAAAAAAATGTAAGATGGTATTCTGACCCAAACCTTGTTCCAAGAAACAAACAGCAAACAGAGATAAAAGCAAAACCTTGTACGGATTCTTTATGAATTCTGTTCCTTCCCGGTGAAAAGGCTGTTTTGAACTAATTGTCTCTGATAAGAAGGAACCTTGCCAAGAGGGTGCAAGGCTGCCAAGAACACGAGATAAAGTTGCCAGGAAATATTTCAAGCACAAAAGAGTCTCCAAACACTAACCAAGATATTCCGAACGTCCACCAGGCTCGAGTGCAAAAACGTCTTTGCTTCCTGCAAAGAGCTCTGGTTTCTCAGCTGGCTTTTATCTCTTAAGGGAGGGGCCACTACCTTGCAGCCTTACTCCCGAGTCGCCTGTGCTGCCGCAGCTGCTCTTTCCTTCGAGCAGCTCTGCGCGCATGTGCACTGGGCACAGGCTCCTCGGGGGCCTCTTCCTCACTGCTGCCAGCCTCCACAATCTCCGAAGGCAGCACTCCACTCCCTGATGGTCCTGGCCCCATCCCTGCGTCCCACGCAGGCTCCTCATTTGAGTCCTCGCTCTCTTGAGACCTCAGCCATTTGCACCTGCTGCTGGCGAACCACCACAGTTGGAAGTCGGCACAACTTTAAAATCGCTAAATTGCAAAACGGGGCCTAGAGTAGACGAGGAGTTCCCAACCTTGGCAACTTTAAGACGTGTGGACTTCAACTCCCAGAATTCCCCAGCTTGCATGTGACACACACACACACGCACACACAGTCACATAAGTTCAGTTTGGGTCTTTAGCAACCATGTTAACAACTCACAGCATTCGATTACCAACCATCCCAAAAAGGCCTGAAATTGGGCACAGTTTATGTGGCGATCCACTTTATGACCAGCATGACTTGGGTATGAAATTGTGGGTTCAATTATGGTTGTAGCAGTGGTGGGATTCAAATATTTTTTTACCACCGTTTTTCTGTGGGCGTGGCTTGGTGGGCGTGGCAGGGGAAGGATCCTGAAAAATCTCCAGTCAGAGGTGGGAGTTGCTGGTTCTCCAAACTACTCAAAAGTTACGCTACCAGTTCTCCAGAACTGGTCAGAACCTGCTGAATATGCCACCTCTGGGTTATAGGTCAAGGACTAAAAGACCAGTCAAGGGCAAATCTTGAGCCATGCAGCTTCTCTAAGCTCTTCATCCTCCTCCTCCACCACCATCACCACCTCCTCCCTGCAAACCACACTCCCTTCTAGCACTGATGACGTTACCTAATTGGGTCAATAAACGTCTGCAAGAAAACAGTCAAGTTCAGAGAGCACCGAGGACCCCACTGTTCTCCTCTTCGTCCTCCTCCTCTTCCTCCTCTTCTTTTTCTTTTTCTTCTTCCTCTTTTTCTCCTCCTCCTCCTCCTCCTCCTCCCTCCTCCTCCTCCTCCTCCTCCTCCTCCCTCCCCCTCTGATGTTACTTAGTTGGCTAATGAAACACCTCCACCAAGAGTCCTCTTCCTCCTCAAACGTCTCATTCCATTCTAGCACTGATGATGTTACCTAGTTGGGTCATGAAACACCTGCCAAAAAAATAAAATAAAAACCCAACCAAGCTCAGAGAGCACCAAGGAGCTCACAGGTGGGAGTATTTTCTGCGTAAGCTATATCTGACATTTTTACTTATTCTATTTGTACATTGCCAAATCATACTTATAACCTGGGCCTGTGTGTGGCTACTTCAAAACTATGCTGTACCTCTCATCACACCCTTTAAAGACGTTAGCCCTCTCACCTTTTTTTTTCTTATGCTAAATTCATTTTGCCTCCGGCACCGCTGTGATGATCCAGGGTGAGATATAAAATAAGCACAGTCACAAAAACAGGCGAAGCCCCTTTTGTTCCTTCACTTTGCTTCAAAGCTCCAAATATCCTTGACTGGAAACAAAAAACTCCCCCACAAGCAGTTACAAAAAGGAGGAAACGCCATTTAAACTAAAGTGCCTATAAATTATAAAGAGTAAAAACAACACAAACCACACTGACGCAATTAAGGGAACCAGGCAAGATAAGGGCTTGAAGACGTCCACAGATATCGGAACACACACTGGGAAGGATGTCAAACTCAGATAGGAATGGACAAGACTAAAGAAATTTCCATGCTTTGCTTCCAGCACTGGCCCATACGCATGTCCGCCCTTTGAAACAGTCCTCCCAGCTGCAGCCCATGAAGGGGATCAAGGCCCTTTCCTCCCCCATAGACCACACCATTCACGTCTCTCCCTTATCCTCTCCTCCCTGCGTGCCCTAGGATGGAGAGGGGATGGGCCTGGGTCCTCTTCTGACTGCCCAGCCAGCCTCTGCCCTTCCCCAGCCTCCTCCACAACCTCCGGAGCCCCACTTTTACTCCCTGTTGGCTGTTCTTCCTCTCCCTTGGAGTCAAACTCCAACATGGCACCCCTGAGTTTGCTGCGTCGACTTGATTTTAGCACTTGCTTTTAGATTGTTGTGGTGTTGTGTGTGAATGTGTGTGTGTGTGTGTGTGTGGCGTGGAGGTTGCATGCAAATTTTCCTTCCCTTGAAAAACATTTCCATTAACCTTTGTCGACTTTTTTTTTTTTAAAAAAAGAAATATTGCTTAAATGTTTAATTTTTTAGGGCTGCATTATGATTCAAGGCACCGTTTTCATCCAAGGCCAGATAATTGCCACTAATATCATTTCATTTGACGATAAAGTAATCTGGAGTCTGGCCTCATTTCCTAATGTGTCCATTCCGTCTAGAAATGACACTTGAGAAAAATAATGAACTTCTCTCTTTCCGTGTCATAATTTTACAACTGGCAGATTTGAGTCAGTCTGACAAACCGCTGAGAAGCCCAAGAGGGGGGCGGTTTGGAATATTTTAGATGAAGATCATCGCAGCCTCCGGTTCAGTTAAATTTTTTTTTTAACCTGATCTAACCGAGAGATCGGATAGGCTAGAATTTCAATTCTTCGTTGTCATTGTACATATATACACAGTATACATACAATGAAATTCTTTTTTTTTAAATAAAAAAGTTTTTAATTTTTTGACAACAAATGTAAACATAAGACATAAAACATAAAACAACAAAAAAACCTTTCAGTTATACTGTGTGTCGGTTGGTACATATGTCTTGTGCACGGTATCGATTTTATCTTTCTTAAGTTTACATTCATATTGCATTAATTGAATTTCCGAATCAAATGGCATTATGATGATTTTATTTTGTTTATTCAAAATTTCAAAAAAATATTTTAAAAAAGAGAAATATGTTCTCACATTTTGCAGCATTTTCATAATAGTGTCAAGGTCATTTGCTACAAATACATCTGTAACTTATTTCCTAAATCCTTACTTATTTATGTTATTATTACATTATAATACAAGATGTACTTATTTATATTACTTTACATATATACATAGCCATACATACATTTATCCTTATTCCCATTTTCCCTTGGCGTTTCTTTAATCATTTTCAGTAGACATCTTTACTTCCTTTTTATTCAACCATTTGTACCATTGTATAAAATTGTATTATTATTACACCATTATGAGACTTTAATTTCAGTTCCATATTGTCCTTTCGAGCAAATCTCAATTCTTACTAATTTTATTTGTATTATAATTTATTCCGAGCTACTCAATTATAACATATCATTGCTATTATGTTATACTTCAATTTCCTACTTTTTTATTTAACCATTGGTAGAATAAATCCCATATCTTATAATGCTCTTTTTCTTCTTGCTCTCTAATGGCTAATGTTAATCTCTCTCTTTTCTGCGCATTCCATTATTTTCTTAATCATACAACAAAATTCACATAACACCTGGAGACCAGACCCAACACGCACACACACACACGACAATCCACAAACACCTCATCACCCACCAAAATTCCCCACCTCCTAAAAACACACAAGCATCGGTGGCGGTTGATAAAATTAGGATCGTCAACATGACCATCAACATCAAACGATGGATATGGAAGAAGCAGCAGCAGCTTATATTTCAATCAAATCTGTAATGCTTTGAACCAACTTCCAGAAATCTTAGTCCTAGGATTCTGGAAGTTATCCCCAATTAAATCATGAGTCTCCAGCTAAACTTCCAAAACTTCAAAAGGATTTATTGGGAATTAACATGCCAGCGCTGCCTGGGTGTAGCCGACTCTGAGGCACATCATTCATGGTCACCCTTGACCCTGGTTTTCCCCCACCCCCCTGGGTGTATCCTAATTCATATCCATCCTTTGGGGGGGGGACATTTCTCTGTAGACCATCCAAATTTTCTCTTGGACCACTAGTGGCCCCCCGGCCCCTGATTGGCGACCACTGTGCTAAATTGTCCCCTTCCGATTTGCCCCTCTCCGCTTCTCATTTGCTATTTTTCTGTGAATTAATTCCAACCACCACCACAGGGCCTCCACCCCACTTGGAGAATTGCTTCTCCTAAAAAAAAGAAAGCCTGTGGCGTCGGCCCATCCTGGGCGGCTGCCAGCCCTCCGGGGTCGAGCTTGCTGACGCGTTTGTCCTTTGCCAGATTCCTTTTTGCATATTCAGGGCACATTCTCGGCGGGTTCCTTGCTGCCATCCGGACGGCCGCGTCATTCCTTGGGGACCTGCACTGCAGGGAGGGTTGAGCTCCGTGGCAGAGAACCGGGGTGGAGTGAGGAGTGAGGAGGGGGTGTAGGCGGGAGGGGTAAATACAAGAAGAGAATCGACTTGAAAGCAACCCTAAGCCGACTCTGTTATTTTCCCCCGGAAACTAAAGTTAGGAAAAGTTCCCCCGGCCATCAAGTCTGCGGATCAGCAATGGAGTCCATCTCCAAAGCATCTCTGATAAATGGTACCCGACCCTCGTAACCGTGGTTACAAAAATTGGAGATGTTCAGTCCAGTGAAAATTAGGACTAGGGGAGATGTGACAGCATGTGACAGCATATTTAGGGCAGTGGTTCCCAACCTTTTTTTCATCCCGCACCCCTAAAGAAATTTCACTCGAACCTCGTACCCCCTGAAATTTAGACTTTAGGAACTACTGAACGCGTTAAATATATGGTAGGATTGAATCTTTTCAGCTATGTATGTGACGGCCACTAAATAACGATACTTAACTCTAAAAGTTAATCCACTGCATAATAAATAAAAATGCCAACGTATAGCCAATATCCTATTATTTACCTGGACTTTTCTCGCACCCCCTGGAATATCGTCTCGCACCCCGAGGAGGCGCGAGCACCTCAGGTTGGGAACCCCTGATTTAGGGGTTTTCCCCAAAGAAGTGGGGGGGTGTGTCAATTTATTTTCCAAAGCACCAGAAGGCTAGGACAAGAAACAATGGCTGTAAAATAATCAAGGAGAGAAGCAACCTAGAATGAAGGAGAAATTTCCCAATAGTGAGAATAATTAACCAGTGGAACCGCTCGCCTCCAGAAGTTGTGGACACTCCAACACTGGATGTTTTTAAGAAGAGATTGGAAAGCAGTTTATATGAAATGATATAGGGATTCCTGCCTGAGTAGGAGGTTTGGACTAGACTAGAAGATCTTTTAGGTCCCTCCCAACTCTGTTATTCTGTTTTTTGTGTGGCTGTGCATTTGTATTAGAAGAAATCTAGCAGAACTCATGGGCTTATGTGGTCTCCTTGGTGTTCCCTGAGATTGGTTGTTTTCTTGCAGATCTTTCATGACCCAACTAGGGAACATCATCAGTGCTAGATGGGAGTGGGGTTTGCAGAAAGGAGGAGGAGGTGGAGG